TGGGTGGGTGGGTGGATGGATGGATGGATGGATGGATGGATGGATAGGTGGATGGGTGGGTGGGTGGATAGATGGATAGATGGGTGGATGGATGGATGGATTGTTAGATAGGTGGATGGGTGGATGGATGGATGGGTGGATAGATGGAAGGAAGGATGGGTGGATTGATGGATGGATGGAGGGATGGATGGATGGAAGGCTGGATGGGTGGATGGATGAATAAATGGCTGGCTGGATGGACAGATAGGTGGATGGGTTGATGGATGGATGGATAGATAGAAGGATGGATGGATGGATGGATGGATGAATGGAAGGAGAGATGCACGGATGGACAGATGGGTGGATGGAGGGAGGGAGGGAGGGATGGATGGATGGATAGATGGATCAATGGGTGGGTGGGTGGATGGAAGGATGGATGGATCAATGGGTGGGTGGGTGGATGGGTGGATGGATGGATGGATGGATGGATGGATGGATGGATGGATGGATGGATGGATGGATGGATGGATGGATGGATGGATGGATGGATGGATGGATGGATGGATGGATGGGTGGGTGGGTGGATTATAGGTAGCTAATAGGTAGATGATGAATGGATAGATATTGATAGATTTGATTGCTAATAGATGATTGCTAATATGTGACAGAATAAATAGACAGGAAGGATAAGTCAAGAACAAATGAAAGGAAGCTGTTCCTGGTGCAGTGCTGTGAGAAGTACACTGAGAAGGGTCAGCCAGGCACTGAGTGGAGCCCAGGGAGGCACTGAGCAGGGTTGTGACAGTGACCAGGGCAAGGTGCTAGCTGAGGGCCAAGTAAGTGGCACACACAGCACTCTGGGGTGGACTTAAACTGGGTGACAGTGCTACTATCTGAATCTGCAGCCACGTGGGCAGGTGAGCTGGCTGATTACTGGTATACGGACCACACAGGACAGCGGAGCAGGATCCCATTTGCTTACTGCCCACCTGGCTGACCACTCTGGACTTGGCCTCTCCACTGTGCTGAGACACTAGTCATTTCTGCAGCCATAAACTGCTAGCTGACCAGCTGTCTTCAAACACACAGTCAGTCCCCAGCACTGGGATGGCCCTGAAGCTCTGACCATGCTCTCCAAAGGACAGAGATGTGACCTTCCTTGCAGCCCTGGCTCCCACAGCCCAAGGCTCCAATCTCCTCAGCAGCACCAACTCCCTTACTCCATAAACTCAAGCAGCCACCTGGCTTGTCTGATACTCCTAGGCACACCCTGGACTGCATGGACACTCAAGGACAGCTCATAGGACTGTCTAGCCCCCAAATGCTTCATGAGGTAGGCTGGCCAGACCCCTGGAAAGGGCTTCAGTGCCTCCTCGTTAGCCTTTCCATGAGGCTACACAGGGGTGAGGCAGCCTGGCTTCCTGAATGGTCTTATCATGGCCCAAACCAAGCAGTTTGTGGCTGACTATCATTTTGGTATGACTACTGGCCCTCACATCTTCCCTTTCACATTCAGAACAATGGGCCTGCTGTCTGCCAGACACCTGTGTCTGGCCTAAGGTGGCCCAGGGCTCTGTCCACGTTCCCCAGGAAACCACAAGTTGATGCCTCCTCTGCCACGCTTCTTCAGGCTGGGGATATGGGAAGGTTTGTTTCCTGAAACAAGGGTTGCCTCCCACCACTGAGAAGGCACATCCTGCTTGTTGGAACCTCACAGGGTCATGCCATTTCACCAAAGGCAGACATGGAGGGCACGTGGGAAGCCTGTGCTGTCGTTTGGATGATTGCCTGGTGACAGCTCCTACCTCCCCTTGGGTGGAACTCATGTCTCACAATCATCTCTAATCTCCTGTCTCATGCCCTCCCATCTCTGGTTGTGACAGGTGTGGATAGATGCTGCCACCCAGGTGTGCTTCTCCCTTGGTGTTGGGTTTGGGGTGCTGATTGCCTTCTCCAGTTACAATAAGTTCACCAACAACTGCTACAGGTAAGTCCCGAACTCCCACTGCTGGGAAATGGTCTGAAACCTCCAGTCAGCACAGCTGCTCCTGGACTCTGACTTTTGGAATGATGTGTCCCTGGAAGGAAATCTCAATACCTCTGAGCCACACAACTTCTTTTTCCTTTCTTTCTTTCTTTCTTTTCATTCATTTCTTTCTGTTTTTTGTTTGTTTGCTTGGTTTTTAACTTTTGATTTTAGAGCTAGAGTTTCATTCCATAGCCCAGGTTGTCCTGAAACTCACTGTGTAGCTTAGACTGGCACCAAACTCGTGATCTTCCTCCTGCTTCTCAAGTTCTGGGATTGCACGTGTGAACCACCATGCTTGGTCACACAGCAGCTTCCAACAAAATCTTGCTTCTTATTTTAAGGAAAGTGTGGAAATGTGTGCCACCTCCTGGAGTAGGCTTCTTAGGGTGGATGTGAAGCCAGATCCCCAGGACAGGGTGGCAGGTTAGCCTTCTTTGTAGAGAAACCCCTACTCTCTGTGTTCCTTCCTCCTCTCTCCTCCCTCTCCCCAGCCCCCATGGGCCTCTTCCCCTTGGCTCAGGGTCCAGTTTCACCCAAGACCTTCCCTCAGGACACCTGACTGTGCCCCTCATGGCCTGGATTGGGGGAGCCTGGGCCTGGAAGGATGCCCCAGGCTCTGAGCAGCTCAGCCTGTGCCACCTGCATCTCTGGAAGTCCTGAGTCACCTGCAGTTAAATGCTGGATCCCAAATCCTAAAAAATAATAATGGTTGACTTGGGTCCCACCCTCTCTGAACTTCATGGACTTGTATTTTACATCTTGAGAAGCAAAGGCACCCCAAAATGCAGAGGCACATAGCAAAATGGAGCTAAAGCACTGAGGGAGGTCACATGGTGAAGGGAGGTCAAATGGAGGGTGGGCGCGTTGAAGATGATCAAGAGGAGGGTGGCAGTGGTCTGCAGTCCTGAGGCAGGCCCTGCCTGGAGCCCATGTGTGCACCTGAGCATGCACTCCACAGTTAGGTGTTGTGAGACCTCAGACCCTCCCCGCTGACCCCAGGCTTGCCTCTAACCTGGATTATCTGTGTCCAGCACGGGGTCCCCAAAGCAGCCTCACCAGAGCCCCCAGGCCTGCATGAAAAACACTCAGACTGTTTCCCAAACCTCTAGGCCTGTGCGTACCCAGGTTTCAGGACCAATGCTCAGTAGCTCCTGAAAGGTGGCCCAGTGCCATGGTGGCCCAGCATGTACCACCCTGAGCCCTGATGGTACCCAGGAGCCAGAAGGTCCCAGATAGGTTCTTCCAGCTGCTGGCTTGACAGCGCTCCTCTAGGAAGCTATCCCTCCGAGCCTGCCCACCCCTTCCCTAGGTGTTGAATAGTGGCTAGCATTCCCAGGGTCACAGCTCAGCCGATGCCAAGACAGTCTGTCTTATTCCCACAGAGATGCAATCATCACCACCTCTATCAACTCCCTGACGAGCTTCTCCTCTGGCTTTGTCGTCTTCTCCTTCCTGGGGTACATGGCACAGAAGCACAATGTACCCATCGGAGACGTGGCCACAGATGGTGAGCCCCCACTCTGCCACACCTCACCCTGTCTCCTGTGGAAAAAAATCAGAGGGGCTTGGCCAGGGCTGAAGCATGTTGGTCTGTAGAGCTGCTGACTTGGGTGCGGGCAACCATGGCCAGCCTGTATCCAAATGCCATTGACCGGCCCTATCCCCAAGCCCAAGGCTCCTCCCTGCCTTATGTGCTGGGTCTGCCTGGTCACTGGAAGTGGAAGCCCAAAGGCCTAAGTGCAACCAGGTGGTTCGGCCAACACCCTGGCCCCTCAGCCTGTTCCTGAAGACACTGCCTGGGCTACAGGACCAAGGTCTGGGGGGACACTGTCAGACATTGTCAACTTGGACCTCCTGGGGCTTCATACCATAATGGAGTATGCACAGCTCAGGGGAGGGGAGGAATGAGCTGTTCCAATCATACATAGTAGTAGCTTGCCAAAATGAAGTCTCAGCAATCAATATTTCCTAGTAAGTGTCCAGAGACCATGGCGGGCCCAGGTGAGATTTGGGTATAATCAGAGACTCCCTGAGTCTTTGGCACCTGGTCTCCCCCACCATCTCATTCACCCGACTTCTAGACACTGAGCATCTCCCCACACCTGGAAGCTGTGTCCGAGAGTCAGGAGGGTGGAGGGCTCTGTGCAGAGGTGATGCAGTACTCTAGTCCATTTTCTGACACTGGGTAACTTTGTAAAGAAAAAAGGTTAATTTAGCTCACAGAGGTCCAAGGACATGGCTATAACCATCAGTGTATGCTTGGTGAGGGCCTCCAGGAAGACAGCAGAGCAAGGGAAACAGCCCTATATGGACAGGCGGGCACATAGGGCGACCTTGCTTTGCAACTGCCACTTACTAAGCAACTTAGTATGTGAGTCGGCCTTCCATCACTGTAATAAAATACAAAAGAAATCAATTTAAAGAAAGAAAGATATATTTTGACTCAATTCCAGATATCTGAGCCCAGGATTCCCTGGTCCTATAACATAGGTCATGTGACAAGGCAGGACCTCCTGGTAGAGACAAGTGGATCAAGTCACCTCACGGCAGCTGGGAAGTCAGGGGGAGGAGGGCCCGAGGACACACCCACAGTGATCTACTTCCTCCAACTGGCCCCACCTCCAAATAACTCATTCAGTTGAACTGACCCACCAGTGACCCAGCTGCCTCTCAGTGTACCACCAGCTGGGAACCAGGTCATGGTGGCTTACGGCTACAGGTGTTTCTTGCTGCAAGTCCTATGGGGATCACTGGGGTGCTCTGCCCTTCTGAACTCCTTAGGGCCTCAGTGGATGGATGCTCAACTCAGTGCCTAGGCTTCCCTGATGCAGGGTTGGTGGGTGACATGAGCCACACTCATTTATGAAAAGTTCACTTGGGGGTGACGTTGCATGGTGCATTGCATGTCCAGAGCACCCACACATGCAGTAACCTCAGAGGAAAGGAAAGAGTCTCGTTTTCCAAAGTGCTGGGAGCACACCCATAATGCACTGCTGCATGTAAAACCCAGCTTCCAAACAGTGTGAGGTGTGTATTGGTGTGTATATGTATGTGTTCCTCCTTGCTCTGTGTTCCTGAATGATTGTGGTGTGTCTGAGCATGTGGATATGACTGTGCCCATGTATATTCCTGTGAGAGTTTGTGTGTGCCTGCATTTTGTGTGTTTGAAGTATGTTCATCCATGTGGTGCATGCATGTATGACATGATCTCTGCTAGAAAACTAACTGGAAATGTCATCTGGGTTAGCTGAGACGGGGCACCTGCTGATCTGTCCCTGTCTCTGCTCCCTGGTTTGATTTGATTCTCCTACCCCACATGGACATGATTTGGGAACAAAGGTGCAGACTGGGTAAGCAGGAACCCTCTGCTCTGGGCATGTCGTCTAGGCTCCTGGCCAGGTGGTAGCTGAATTCCCCAGAGGGAGGACCCTTGAGGAGAACTGAGGGAGAACAGTGGGGAGAGCGATCTGGTCACTGCTGGCACTGACTAGGCCGAGGGGCTTCGTGAGGGGGTGGGGCAGCAAACTTGGCAGCAGCAAGTCGGGGAGCAAGGGGCAAACTTGCGGCAGTGAAGAAGAGCTCGAGGTGGGGTTGAGTTGGGGGAGGGGAGCGAGGACTGAGCTTGGCCGTGATGAGGCTTCTGCCCGCAGGTCCAGGGCTGATCTTCATCATCTACCCTGAGGCAATCGCCACACTCCCGCTCTCCTCGGTCTGGGCCGCTGTCTTTTTCCTCATGCTGCTCACTCTGGGCATCGACAGTGCTGTGAGTAACGTGCACCCCCAAGTCTCCGCAGCATGCGCTCGCTGGCCCGCTCTTGAGGGACACTGCCCCTGTGGTGCCAGGCGTGGCCTCGAACAGCCCCCCAAACTTCACATGCCTAGCACAAAGTTCACACATGTGGATCAAGATGCCCATAACCACTGGAGACCCTCTCTGGGCCTGGGTAGTCAACGACTGAACTGTAACTTACTGTTTTCCTTCCCACCCCAGTGTCGGGGTGCCTGACTCCGGGAACCCTGGGATTTGAACATACGCTGAACACAGCCTCAGTAGCCAAAACTCAGAATGACAGAGCCACTGGCCATGAAGTGTGTAACTGCGGGTTTTCCTGACCCCAGAACTCCCTCATGAGGAATTGAGGCTGGCCGTAGCCTGAGCTTGACCCTGAACACTCTGCATGCTGTCCTCAAGTGTTCCATCTCAAGGAGGCCAGGACTTCTGTGCTGTCTCAGGCTCTTTCTGCCCTGACGGCTGCTTGGGACCATCCACTGATACCGGGATTGGCAAAACCCCACGCCATTTGCCCACCCTGACTGGGGTTCAGGGCTTGTAAGCTTCCAGGAAAGTCTGAACGGAGAAGCCCTCTCCCCAGGAATATAGGTCACACACCACACCCCCTCATCTTCCATGCAACTGGGTGGCCCAGCGGTCTCTGATTTTGCCCCTTATAGGCCACAAAACCTGCCTGGCTAGCACAGTCCTATGATGCAACTTGGAGACATGGCCAGTGCCCGGCCAGCTACATCCCAGGGCTGTGCTTGGGGGAGGGACATTTTGCTTTTATCATGAGCTCACCTCATCAGTATTGTAAGTCAGAGGGTAACTGTCTCAGTCACTTCGCATTTCATGGGCTGAACGACTTCAGGGTGACTGTAGCTGTCTTTCGGGGCCTCTTTCTGAGGGCTGTGTCAGCAGGAAGTCCTCAGCTCCGGTCCTTTCCTCACCCTGCCCCTAGGCTGCTGCACAATCCCTCCCATGCACCCACCTTGGGTTTACACCTACCAAATGAGAACTCATGCCCTAGGCAGGTAGTGCCAATTGCCACACTCTGTGTCCTGCAGATGGGAGGCATGGAGTCTGTGATCACCGGGCTCATCGACGAGTTCCAGCTGCTCCACCGGCACAGAGAGCTCTTCACACTCGGCATCGTCCTGGCCACCTTCCTGCTGTCTCTGTTCTGTGTCACCAATGTATGTAGTTGCCTGCTCCTGTCCTGTCAGCCCTAGTACCCAGCAGTCTGAGAAGCGTCCCCTCCTCCCTCAAGTAACTCTACTTCTACATAGTCACAGGCAGAGCAGCTGCAGGTCTGGAATCGGGCCCAGGAGAGAATTCAGCACCTGGGCAGTGTACAGGAAGCTGCCTTCCTGGGGATGGGGCGAGGCTGGAAGGTGACTGAGGCCTGTCTGTGGGGTCAGCACACTTCCCCTGCACGGGAGACTCTGCCAAGCTTGGCATTTGAGTGCTTCCGTCTCTCATCACCCCAGAAAGGAGAGCAGAGAAGTGGTTTCTGTTTTTATCATAATTGGTGTGACCCTAAGAAGCTACGTGCAAATCCATGGCTCAAATCAAATTTTACAGGGTTAAGTAGAATAGGTCTACCTTCTGTAGGCCAGGTTATAGCACTTTGGTGGGGGGAGATGTGGGAGCCATCCCCAAGTGCAGCAAGGACTCCCTCTGTTCCAGGGGGGCATCTATGTCTTCACGCTGCTGGACCACTTCGCAGCTGGCACATCCATCCTCTTTGGCGTACTCATCGAAGCCATCGGGGTGGCCTGGTTCTACGGTAAGTCTTAGTGGGCAGAACAGTGCCGCGGCATCAGTGTCAGCCAGGGTGGCATCTTATGGCCTACTTTCTGGCAAAGCCACTTTGGAAAGAGGCATTTCAGCTACAGGAGCCTGAGTCACAGTTGCCTTGGTATCTCAGGGGTCGTGGCCAGGTCCTGTCTGCTGAATCAGAGGGGACAGTCAGAAAGCCATGTTATGGTCAGAGATGCTCGGAGAGGCTGTGCCGTGTAGAAGAGTGTGGCGTATTGGGTCGCTGGGCCCTTCACAACTGCTGGCAGAAAGGAGTACCCCAGCCAGCAAGCCAGGACCCTTCTAACGAGCACAGGATAGTTCAAGCTCCATTCAGTCAGAGGCTGGCCCCACGTGTTTCTTGTAGGGACCGCAATCAGATAATGCTCTCAGGCTGTGGGAGGAAGTCAGACCATGACCACCTCCCAAAGGTGCATCCCGCATGTGCCCTCCAGATGGTACCCCTGAAGGGGGTTGCTTGCCCATAAGTTAGAACCATGGGTCTGCCTTTGATGACACACCCATCAGTCATTCATGTGTCAAGTGTCCCTGGGTGTCCAAAGCTGATGACAAGCCTCCCAGGACCTGGCCAAGAGATGCTGAGCTCCAGGGCCCCAGGAGTCTCATGGACTTGCATGGGTTTCACCACGTCCCATCCCCTCCCCCCGGCTATCTCGCCATGGCTGCGTTCTGATGATGGCCTGAGACATGAGCAGAGCTCTGAGGAGGGACTCTATCTGATGAGATCATGAGACCTGCAGAGTTTCCAAAGTGTGACTGCAGCCCCTTGGATCAGAGGCCAGAAATGAGTGAGGGAACCGCTGCCAAGATCTCCTTACCAGCCAGGCAGGGTCGTACATGCTTTAATCCCAGCACCTGGGAGGCAGAGGCAGGTGAATCTCCCTGAGTTTGAGGCCAGACTGATCTACATAGCTAGTTCCAGGCCAGCTAGGCTGCATAGTGAGACCCTGTCTCAAAAAAATTTTTTCCCCTGGGGCTACAGAGGTGGCTCAGCAATTAAGAGCACTGGCTGCTCTTGAGGACCCGGGTTCAGTTCCCAGCACCCACATGGCAATGAACAACTTTCGGTAACTCCAGTTCCAGGGGATCCAACACCCTCTTTTGAACTGTGCAGGCATTGCATACACATGGTGCACTTATAGACAAGCATACCAAACACTCATACACATAAAATAAATAAGTTGGAAAAGCTGAAATTAAAAAATAATATATTTTAAAACTTCCTCACCGTTTCCTGAAAGAGCTAGGTAATATTGCTGAAAGAAGCATGTTTCTAAAGCACACTGCTGGGAGAAAATGCCAGTTATTAGATGTCTAGTAAGAGCCTTTCATTAAAAATGATTACATGTGTATTCAGTGTTCAGCCTTAAAAGTGAAGAGATTCTGACATGCTCCAACATGGATGGACATCAGGGATATGCTACCTGAAGTGACCCAATCCCCAAATGGGTGATGCCACCTACGTGTGATCCTTAGAGGAGCCAGGTCCCGAGAAACAGAGATGAAGTGGCATGCTAAGGATTTGGGGTGAGGGTTGGGGTTAAATGGGGACAGTTTCATTTGGGGAGGATGAGAAAGGTCTGGAGATGGAAGATTGTCCAGCCTCAAAAGAATCAAATAGTAAGTTTATGCTGTATGTGCTGTGTTTTAAAACTAGACAATTACTACTTGCAGGGGAGGAAGGGACACTCTAGGACCTGGGTTTGGGAGCTGAGGCAGGGTGGGCAGTGAGTATCTCTGGGCCCTCAGCTTAACCTGCAGATCACAGGCCTCCCTGGAGCTTCATTAGGGCCCATCAGCACATGGCTGGGTGGATTCAGGGCTGTGGAGTCCGAGGGGTGGGGCCCCTGGTGTCAAGAGGAACTTATGTATGTCCAATGTCATGACCGGCCCAGTAGCCATTGCTTCCCCCTCAGGTGTCCAGCAGTTCAGTGATGACATCAAGCAGATGACTGGGCAGCGACCCAACTTGTACTGGAGACTGTGCTGGAAGCTGGTCAGTCCCTGCTTCCTCCTGGTAAGGACCCTGGGTCTGACACTTCTACCATCCCAATATTTTTAGATCACCAAGGGGTTGGAAAGGCTGCCAGAGAGCCCACCCGCTCATGCAGCTGTTAGCTGTGACTTGGATCCAGTTGGTGTGTGCGGCTGCACAAGCCTCTCTCTGCAGCCTCTGGGAAACTCTTGCACCCACTGAGCAGTCCTGAGTAGAACACAGCCCGTATCGATGTCCAGTGGACTCCTGCCTAGGAACCCCTCAGCCCTGACCTCTTACCCCTGACAGGAGCAGTCTCTCCTTCCTGACCATGGCAAGGCCCCTCTCCCCCAACACCAAGAGCTGCCCTTTATTTTAGGAGACATGACTAACTCTTGGCGCTTCATTCTACGTGTGCTTCACAGAATGTCAGACACAACCTATAAACTCCTACACGGTTCTTTCTTTGCCCAACTTGACCAAATCTCAAGGATTCTGTTACTTTATGCAATTTTGAGTCTAATCTTAGAGCCCATTCCCTGTGATGACTCTGGCTAAAACAAGTTGTTACCACGTTATCTGGTGTTTCTATAAGTCGTTGGGCCAGTTGTCCTCGGGCACACGCTGCTGCTGTCTGGCCACAAGGAGACGGTGCACCTTGCAGTGATCATCTACAGTAGGTCACTCTGACACACCCCCAAGCACGTTGACCAGATTAAAATCAACTTACATGTAGGCTTGTGGCTTTGGCAGATATAACACTTTTCTAAAAAATGTGTCACTGGTCAGAACTGAACAACAGGCATGAGATATGTGTGCCCGCGTGTGCTTTCCCAAATGGCCTGTTTGGACATTTAGCTTTGCTGACCTGGAGAAAAATACATAATACATAAGAATTTTCACCAAATGCATCTTAGTCACACCCCCTGGAGCCTCTTGTGTCTGACAAGGGCTGTTTTGCCCGGGCACACAACACACGTATAGGTATGCAGTACACTGTCAGTACAAAACTCATGTGCAGGTACAAAGTGCGGCTCCTGTACACGTGCAGCTATGATGTAGAAGCATACAGTGCATGTGCTGGTGTGCAGTGCAGACAGGAGCTGTCTTGTCGGTACACCACTTTTGTCTCAGGAGGCTGTTGCTTTGGTTGGACCAGGGTCAGGTAGCCTGGTGGGGTCTGCACCTGTAGACCCTGTGAGACTGGGGGACTCTGCAGAATTGCTTGCTAATTTTCTGCCCCATCCTTTCGCTCACTGACTAGAGCTGTCTGACCGCTGTGCCCATTTGTTTCAGTTTGTGGTTGTGGTCAGCATTGTGACCTTCAGGCCCCCACACTACGGAGACTACATCTTCCCAGACTGGGCCAATGCACTGGGCTGGATCATCGCCACATCCTCTATGGCCATGGTACCCATCTATGCCACCTACAAGTTCTGCAGCCTGCCAGGGTCCTTCCGAGAGGTGGGTATTTTCATGGGTTCCTCACTCTGGAAGTTCAGGTGTTGTCCTGGACCACCTCAGCCAGAAGGAGGCTGGAAGTGGGACTGTAATGGAGTAAGTGGTGGGCTGGCACAGCAGAAAAGAGGGTCGTGCATGTGTCCGTGTGTGTATATATGTGCATGTGTGTCTATATATCCGCGTGTGTACATATCACGTCTGACTGTACATTTCCATTTGTCTGTGTGTGCATCTGGGTGCCAATGTCTCTGTGTGATCCCTGTGCACCCATGTGTCTGTGTGCATGCCCGTCTATGTCACATGTCCTGTTTGACTTCCTGGTCCTCCCTGATTGGAATGGTCCTCACCCATGAGCATTCCAGAGATCACACTGCACTTCGGTTCCAAGGGTTCCTGGCAACAGCTGTCCTGGCTGAGCAGGTAAAGCCCATTGCTGGACCTGTGCGGTACAAGGAGTCCACCTTGGAACCACACAGTGTCCCTCGGTATCGGACACTGTAGCGAGTCCCTCATCACACAGGCTGGCATTCAGTGGTCCCTCCGGCAGTCAGGCTAGACTGGATCTGGAACACACAGCAGATTGTGAGACCAAGGCACAACCCACTACCAAGCTGCCACAGCCCAGACAAAGCTGATGGCATTTTCCATGGTCACTTGATGACCTGCCTAAGTCCTACCTGGGGAAGAAAAGATGGTTGGGCAGTTCCTCTGGGGAGATCTGATGTCTCTAAGTGTCTAAAAGTCGGGGGAGGAGGGTCAGTTTAGTGCTGGGCTTGTAACGATGTAACAGCCAGCCTTGATCTCCCTCCATCTACTCCGCACCAACTGCAGCTAAAACTGCAATCCCTGAGACACGCATCAGATGGATTGTATACCCATGGACAAGATATATCCCATGTGGGACAGGGTCTGAGAGCCAGACAGTCTTGGGTCCTGAAGTCCAACTCTTGATGGGCAGTTTTTCTGGGCCTGATGATATCAGGGTGGTAGAAAGAGGTGAACACTCCCTACAGGGGTGAGTGACAGGTTCTGAGGGAGCTGCGCGCACCCACTAAGGGACAAAGACCTCGGCCATCACTGCTCCCAGTGCATCAGACAGTCATTGGCCTTTAAAGATCTCAGGCTGTGCTCCTGAGCCTGACTCCACTGAGAGGAGTCCGTGCATCACAGCAGATGCCTGCGGCTCTGTGCCAGCCAGGGCACAGTGCCACACAAACACCCCCATTCTCTCTTAGAAACTGGCCTACGCCATCACACCTGAGAAAGACCGCCAGCTAGTGGACAGAGGGGAGGTACGCCAGTTCACGGTGAGTCTGACATCCTGCTCAGCCTTTGGGGAGGGGATTCAGAGAGACCTGAATGGTGTCCTCACCCCATGGCTGCTGTGACCCAACGGCTCCAGAAGCCCAGAAAGTTTTTTGACACAGCAGCACATCTTTGGTGCCAGCTAGGGCCACTCAGAAGCCCTAGGTTGTAGCTAGCCAGCAGGCATAAGAGGACCAGGGGGATGAGCAGCGGGGTGACACTGACAGGGTCTGGAGCAGCTCAGGGAGCAGAGAGGGCCTGGGCTGGAGCAGATGAGGAGTGGGCTCATGAAGGCCTGGAGCCAGTCAGGGCCCCCAAAGGGAGGGAAGCCCGACGGGGTGAGGATGGAGCCACACCTGGTCAGATGTCCGTAGGGGAAGCAGGAAGGCTGGGAGGCTCCAGTGAGATAACGGGGTCCTGCTAGAGCCTGGCAACGTTCATTTTCCCTCTCTCCTGGGGGCGGAGCACTTGTCTATATATTCAGGTGACGTGCCTGAGCGTGCGTACGTAGGTGAGAGCCCACTCCTCCCCCTAACAACCGTCTTTGCTCTGAAAGTCCCTTCGTCTGCAGTGAATTTAGCTGCGTGCAGAATCTTTGGCTTTTACCTAGAACACTTCCTTCCACTGATGCAGTGGCCCTAAGACTCGGGTGGTGTTTGCAGACCTAGCATACACCTCAAGTTTCGCTCTGACAGTCTGGCCAGGCAGATAAATCTGCTCATATTTGTTAGGTGTGACTCACTTCATCTTCCCACCCACCCTTTAATTCTGTCCTTTTTTGTGTTTATTTTGACCTGTGTTGCCTTTTTGTTGATTGATCTTTTTATTTGTTTTTTGTTCTGCTTATCCTGATTCACTTACAGGACCTACATTATTTCATTCGTTTTCTTGTTTCTGATGTTTTTACTGAGTTTTTGAGAAATATATACATATTTATCATATCATATTTAGACCCCCCTCCTTTATCTGCACCCCCATAACAACCCCTACCTAATGTCACATACTCTAACATATATATTTCTTAAGGTCTGTTGAGTCAAATTTGCATCCCCAAATGCCTTTCCATGTAGGCCTATTGTCCACTGGAGCCTGGTTAACCCACCCAGTGCCACACCCTTTAAAATACACACACACACACACACATGAGCACGCACACGCACACATGAGCACGCACACATGCACACGTGCGCACACACGCAGATGCACACGCACACACGAGCATGCATACATGCGTGTGCACACGCACACATGAGCATGCACACGTGCACACACACGCACATGCACACATGAGCACGCACACATGGACACACACACACACACCGTGGCTATCAGTTGTCAATAGTTCCTCAGTTAGGGTCGGAGTTTCTCCTCCCCACTTTGTCTGACTTGAGCTTGCATGGGACTTGTGCATGCTGTCACCATTACTGTGAGTTCATATGAGTAACTGTCCTGCTGTCTGGAAAACTCTTTCCTTGTGGTCATTCACCACCTCTGGCTCTTACAGTCTTTCCACCCCCTCATCTGCAATGATCCCTGAGCCTTGGGAGGCAGAGGTTTGATAGGTGTCCTGTTCAGGGATAAGCCATCTGCAGTCTCTTAGTGTCTTCACATTGGCCAGTTGTGGGTCTCTGTGTTAATCACCATCTGCTGCATAGGAAGCTTCTCTGGTGAGAGCTGAGACGCACTAATCCCTGAGTATGACAATAAGTCATTAGGAGTTGGTTTAACGGCATGTCCATTTTGCAGAATAATAGAAGTAGGCTCTCTCCTATGGCCTGTGACCTGTCTAGCCACAGGTATCTAAACCTGATATTAGTGTCAGGTATGGGTATTTAATTATTTTAATAATTATCCTTGAGGTTGACAGATACTTTCCTCAAAGTCTAAAGGTAATATCTCAACTCTTCTCATGAATATTAATCGCAAGGACTTAAATCTCCTTCCTACTAGTTACTGAGATGTTTTCCAATGTTCCACATTTGTCTCTTTTATTTTTATTTTTTATTGTGCGTGTGTGTGTGTGTGTGTGTGTGTGTGTGTGTGTGTGTGTACATGAGTGCAGGTGCCTGCTAAGGCCAGAAAAGTCTGATCCCTCAGGAGCCAGAGTTACAGGTGGTTGTAAGGTGCTTGGAATCAAACTCAGATCCCCTGCAAGAGCAGTAGGCACTCCTAACCACTGAGCCATCCTCCAGCCTTATGTCATCTCAGCCCACGTTAGACACTGTTGCCAGCAGATTTCGTGTGCTATTACTTTGTGTAAATGTGGGTTCAAATGTGTTTGATGTTCATAACTTTACACTCTGACAGATGTGCTTTCCCTCCAGGATAATTTTCTGGGTTTCAAAAACTCCTTGAGACAATCCCTTAAAGAGTTCTTCCAGGAAGCTCCCCCTTTCCATGTGCCCGTAACCATCTCTGAAAGCACCTCACCTCCTAGTCCTAAGCAGCAGGATGTCATCAGTCCTCTGCCCACTGCAGTCCATGCCATGATGATGCAGGAGTTTACCCCGCCACTCCATGGAGGAGTCTGTCCTCCCTCTCTGGGCCTTCCAGGTTTGCTTTGCAGCTGGCGCTGCACACCCATGGGTGTGGGTTTCCCTTTGGAGTATCCTCTAGAGACATCATATCATCTGCCCAGGATCCGAGTCACATACTGACTGTTCTGGGCCCTTTGCAGCTGCACTTTCTAATCCTCGTTTGCCATCCCTCTGGGCTCCAGGGCATCTGCCCAGGTCCTTCAAATCTCTTATCTTCACTTGGATGTTTTTAAATTTGGACGTTGGGGGCACAGAGTTGCACAGCACTTCTGATCACTGGTCCACATGGTCTGCTCTCCCCAAACCCTCTGTTTTGCTCAGTGTCCCTTGGGTGCTTTCTGTTGTAAGGCTCCTGTGCTGACTGGATCCTTGAGGGCTTCCTTTGCCTCTGTTTATTCCCTCATTCATTTTTTGGTTCACTAACGTTTTTTTCTGGGGTGTCTAATCTTCTGTTAGCTCATGCAGCTTATTTACCCTTTTGCCTGTTGAACTTTCTTCTTCTGGGGTTTATTTGGGTCTTTTTTTAAATAATTTCTGTGTCTCCTCTTAACTTTAAAAAAATTTATTGAACTTTTGTACATTTCATACAACAGTTCTTAATCAAATTTAGACCCACTTCCCCATCCGTGCCGCTCCAACCCTCCCCCACCCCGACCTCATGTGTTCCGCCATACACGTTAAATGCTATCCTGTCAAGCATTTGTACCCAGATGTCCTTTGGTGCACATTCACCCACTGGAGTCCAGTCAGCCTGTCTAGAGATCATAAGACCTACTCTCTCTCCACGGAGTTAGGGTCCCTGAGATTTTAACCTTTGTATCAGTCTAGGTTGGTGTCAGATGACCAGCCTCACTCACTAGGGCTGATTTGCTTTGGTTTTTGTGTCTGGTGAGGTTTAATCATAGCCCAGATGCGTGACTTTTCTATATTATATTTTGGATATTTTTAAATTTTATTTATTATTTTTATTTTATGCATATGAGTGTATTGCCTGCATGTATGTAAGTGTACCCATATTGTACAATGCCCAGTGGAGGTCAAGAGAGGGCAGCGGAGATCAGAAGAGGCTTTGGATCCCCTGGAACTGGAGGTATGGGCAGTTGTTAGCTGCCGTGTGGGTGCCAGAAACTGAACTCCAGTCCTCTGCTCGTAACCTCTGCCAGTGCTCGTAACCTCTGAGTCACCTCTCCAGCACCTATGTATCTTGGGTATTTTTAATGTGTATGTGTGTGCATGTTTGTGTGTTACAGATATGTATGTATATGTGTGTGTGCATGTGGAATCCAGAGAACAACCTTGAGTATCATTTTCAGAAACACCATTCATTTCCTTTGAAATTTCCTTTCTCATTAACCTGAAGCTCACCAAGTAGGCTGGGCCAGTCAGTGAGTCCCGGCCTGTCTCTTCTTCCCCAGCACTTGGCTCACAAGCACACACCACCACGCCTGCCATCTTTACATGGGTTCCAGGATCAAACTCAGGTCCTCATGCCTACAAGGCAGGCACTTTACCAATGCAGCCACTCCCCAGCCCCCTATATCTCTCATATTTTTAAATCTCTTTAAATATTTTTGGAGCTTTTGGAGTCTGCTTTTGAAAATCTGTTGGGTGAGTCCTAAGAGCATTAATTCTAGGACTGGCTGTCTCCCTGCTGAAACACAGGGAGGATTTTCTAACCCTTCAGGAGGATTTTCTAACCCTTCAGGTACCTCAAAGCCAGTTCCCTAGACCCAAAACCAGGCTCCCCTGGGTGTCAAATATGCTGTTCAGGAATCAGTTCAACTATGCAGACGGTCCCTGCATCCATGCAGTACCTCGCTGCTGCTCTGTCCTGGAGGCTTCAGCTATGTGGGTTCCCTACAGCCCGGGGAATCCCTTGGAATCCCACCCCTACATGGAATTCCAGCAGGCTAGGTGGCTGGACATTTCCCACATTCCTTCTCCCTTTGGGATTTACTAACCACAGCCATCTGAGGTCCAGTGTCTTGTAAACCCCAGGGGTATCTGTGGTGTTTATTTGGGGACTATTTCAGATGGTAGAGTATGTTTAGTCCTAGTATTCTCCTTTGAGCAGAAATACCTTTGTCTGTGGCTCTGGTCCGCCCATCTTGACTGCCCAGTGGTAATTCCATTATGGTAACTGCCTACAGTTTAGCCACAGACCCTGCCTGGCTCCCGGTCATATCATCTCCTCTAACTGCTGCACTTGAGCCTTGTTCAGTGTGGTGAAACTCAGGTTGCTGAAGTCACACATGTCACTTTTTCTGTGGCCTGTGCCTGTGCTGTGCTGTGACGCTGTAGCATCTCGGGTCCTCAGCTCTGGGCTCTGCAGTTCAGTTCTGATCCGTGCTCAGAGTAGGCTCCTGCCCCGGGTTCCCAGTCTGTGAGATCCGAGAGTCACCCTGAGGCTTCCTCTCTCCAATGAACGTTCACCTTCTGCTTCATTGACAAGAATGGAAGGGATGGAGCTGTCTCTCAGAGCTGCTGTGCTTGGACGGAATGGCTGCTGGCCCTCCTGTGTGGGTCCCCACCCAGGTTTCTGCTTCTTTCCCAGTCTCCAGGCCATACCTGCCCAGGGCCAGTGCTGGCCTCACAGACTGCCCCAGGCCCTGTACACTTCAGACTGGCCCCAAAATCACAGCCATCCTCCTGCCTCAGCCTCCTGAGTGCTGAGATTGCAGGTGTGAGTCACTGCAGTTTCCAGGTCTCTTCTTAATTAAGTGATGCAGCACTTGGAGGTTTACACCAGGTTACTGGCCCTTGGCGCCCCTCAGGAGTGGCATCCATTAGCGCCCTGGAGGAGTGGCTGTCACCTGTTGATGCAACCCTCAGCACAGCAGAGGGTTACTACCCATGAGCTCAGTCCTCAAGTCAGCTTCTTCACATCTGAATAAGTGCTGTTTTCTTTCCAGCTGCGCCACTGGCTACTGGTGTAAAGTGGAAGGAGACGGTGACCAGGCGGACATTTCACCACAGCTGGGAACGTGCAGAAGGAAACCCAAGCATCCAGGAAGGGCCGCTTCCACCCTTCCCATCTGCTATGTGGAAAAAATTAAAACATAGGCTTCAACCTTTCACATTCGATTCATACCATGGAGAGGCCTCTCTGTGTGTGTGCGTGTGTGGCTATAAGAACACACAGCTCTGCATGGTGAGGTCGAGCCTGTCCCCATCCCCACTGGGTGGAGAATGCCTGGCTGCCATTCTGTCTCTTAAGAGGCTGGCACCTGCCCCCTCTGTGGCCATACTGGGGGCGCAGATCTTGCTGTACCCTGCTCTATAGGGGAGGGTCTTTGGTACCTGTACATACACTGTGCAAGAATCCTTATGCTCACAGTAGCTGCCCAGATTGTTTCTTTTGCTCACATTTACAGTGCCCAGTATGATATTTTGTTTGTTGTGTAGAAGGTAAGAGAAACTGTTAATACATGTCAAGTCCTTTCCTGGTGCTTGGCTCTGAGCAGACACCATGACCCAGGCATCCTGTTCACACACTTTGAACACAGGGTCTGTTCTGAGCCACAGAGGACGGGGGACCTGGTGCACATGACCAGGATTTTTTTTTCTTTATAGCTGAGAGAAATGGACGCCATGGGACGAGTTTGGGAAACTTCCTACTCCTGGCCCCTGGGAGGCCTGGTCAGCCTGTGGTCACCACACTGTAGACTTCCAGGCCACAGAGAAAGTGTGCTCCTCAAGCCAGCGTGTTGCTGCCTTAAGGACGCCTACTCTGCGTAGGTGTCAAGGCAGCCTGAAGACCAAATCCTGCTTGGTCCAGATCTCTAAGCTTTGGGGAACAATCCCCACTCCCAGGTTTTATTTCTCTCAAGCCACCATCACATCAATAGGAACATTTTCCATGTTAAGGAATAGCTTTTTAAAAATCATATTTATTTGTAAATCAAAACTAATTCTCTGAAGCTGAGTTTGTTCAAATCTGTTGCTGACATTCCAGTTTTTGTTTAGAAGAGGATTAGCAATCCCATGTATGGGAAGAACCGCCTTCCCACGGAGCACTGGCTTCAGACCCTGCAGGGAAGATTGGATGTTGTGATTCGCCCTTAAACTGATGTACATGGACTCTGACCTGGCCTGTGCCCCACAAAGATGGTGTCACATGTCTGTAAGAGTTAGTCTCAGGCGTCCTGTCCTCTGAAGTGACTTTGGCACCAGGCACTGGAATGTGCTGCCAGATGGGAATGCAGGTCTGTTGGCTTCAAGACTGTTTGCAGTTTGACTCAGGAGGGCCAGGTCCGCCGACTCCTCTCTGAGGAGTGACTCCGTGTAAAAATCCAGCTGTTGTCAGCATCCGTTCTCTGTCCATAGTCAGTACTTGTGTGGGTCCTTATGAACAATAAATCTGTGTTGGAAACAAGTCCAGCTGTGTTGCCACGTTCCTCTTGGCTGTTGTTGTGCACAGTGGCCAGCTCATCTGCCCACACAGGGGGAGGGGACAGGTCCAACCCCCACAGGGAGACCTCCTTCACCCCAGTATCCTTCAGCCTGGCCCCCACAGAACTCCACATCTCTCCATTCATCTCCATACCCACCTCTCTCAAGTCTAGAGCCAGCTTGGAGCTGCCCACTGGTGCCTTGGGTGCCCGGCTTCAGATCTGTCCCCCTGTGATGAATGAAGCATTCACCTGTTTTCAGGTGGAGCCTGTTGTGCACCTATCCCTTCCTCCAGCCCTCCTCCTCCTAGCAGTGTCCTACGGGCTCCCCATTGGGCCCCAAGGCCTGAACACTACCACTTCCAGCCCAGGATTCCCTTCCAGGGGTGGTCTCTTGGCTACGCTGTGACTGAAGGGACTCTTCTGACGCTGGGAGACCCAGCCACACCCAGAGGAATCCTCTATGGCCTTCCTTGTGCTTGGCTAAGTGCAACATCCTTAGTGTGACCTGTGACAGGTCATCTGGTTACCAACACCATGCTGACAGTACAGCAGTCCCTCCAGGTATAGCCCCTGGTAGAACAGGCACCCCCCCAAGTGATAACCACTACCAACTCCCAAAAGAACAATCTCATCTCCTTCAGGCCTCTACCCACTCAGGGACCATCAGAAAATCCACCTTGACCCCAGACCCATATGTTGAGCAAGAGCCTGTGAGCTCCAGAAAGCTGGGGACAGCAGCTCCAAGTGAAGCCTCCTGCCTCTAGTGCAAGCCATCACTCTGCAGCCATCTGGGCAGCTGGGCTAGCTCAGGGGGCTGTGCACTAGCCAATGCCTGTGTCTCAGGTCACACAGGGCTGTAGCCATTTGGCATTACCCCTTCCCAGCCTCTAGCCTTCGACGCATCACACCCCCCTGCACAGGGGAGAAGAGGGCATGAGGGCTAAGTGGTTAAGTGCTGTGAACAGCACCTTGAGAGAACACAGGGCATCCCACTCAGATAATGCCCCAGGACTGAAGAAGCTACCACTTCAGGCCCCTGGAAACATCAGCTACCCTCCCAAACTCTACAGGAAACCAAACCTAGGAGGAGGTGTACAAACATCAGGGGCCAGAGATATGCTTGGTGCTCACTGCAAGACATGATTCAGGGGACAAGCAGGAAGTGGTGGGGGTGTATATCCTGAAAATGTAAAGAGTTCTTACAAATCAATAAAATTATAGGTCAATGGGAAAATTGGAAAAAAGTCATGAGTGTATGCTGAGTTAGTTATCCTTCATGACTGTTACAATCTGAGAGAACAGTCTTATTAAGAGAAAAGGTTTAACTTTAAGATTTCATCTCACCCCAGTCAGACTGGCTAAGATCAAGAGAACAAATGATACCAAATGTTGGAGAGGATGTGGGGAAAGGGGAACACTCATCCACTGCTGGTGGGGCTGAAAACTTGTTCAACCCCTATGGAAAACAGTGTGGAGAACTCTTAAAAACTACAAATGAACCTACCATTTGACCCAGTTATACCACTCCTTGGCATATACCCAAAGAGCTCATCCTATTGCAGAGACACTTGTACATCCATGATTGTTGCTGCTCTTTCACAACAGCTAAGACATGGAAGCAACCTAAGTGTCCCTCAACTGACGAGTGGATAATGAAAATGTGGTTCATTTATACGATGGAGTTTTACTCAACAGTAAAGAAAGATGAAATCATGAAATTTTCAGGTAAATGGATGGAACTAGAAACTGTTATACTAAGTGAAGTAACACAGACTCAGAAAAAAAAAACAAAAAAAACAGGGAAAAGAAAGAACCTGAAAGAGAAGAACAGTAGGAAACAGGCCTTAATAAGGGAGAGATGGATGAAAATTGGGTTAGTTTAAGGGAGGGGGGAGGGAACGTTATACAAGGAACCTAGGGGATAAAGGGAAAGAAGATGGTCAAGAGAGGTGGGACCATAGGAGAAGGGTATTATTAAGAGAGAAATAGGAAAAATGGGGGCACCTTAAATGGAGACACCATGGTGGAAGGGTTAGACAATGTGAGAGATAAATAATGCCTAGCTAGTTTTAGAAAACCAGAGGGAACCACATTAGCTCAACAACCTACTGACAAATTATACATACAACCAGATCAAAGAATGTAACATATGTTTAGGCAAGGTTTATCTGAGAGTGTTTGGTCTTTTCCCAAGCTCTACATACTTGGCACATGGTAATTAAAAGTACCAGACTGGTGGAACTAATCTTCTTGGATGTTTAACAGCAATATTTTGAGGCCTATACTAATTTGGTGTAGTATAAAGGGACATAGGGGACAGTTTTTGCTCTTTTCCCTCCTAGGTCAACTAAGTTCCAGGGGACTATGAACATCTCTCAAAATGTCCTGTAACTGTGGTGATTCACCTGTCCTCTTGATCAAGGAGGCCGTGGAGACCCCACCAGACGGACCTGAGCTAGTGTCCAGTCTACAAAGAGGAGGGTCAACACAGAGGAATCATTTCCTCCATGCTTCCAAGCTAAGCCAGCCATGGTTGAGCAGGACCTTTGACTTATCTTCACATAGATGGAACTGGTAAAAGAAAGGAGCCAGGGGCTCCTCCCAAGCCCATGTTACCCCTGAGGAATAGATCCTCAAATGACCTTAAAAGTAAAAATAAATTGGTTTATCTGGGCCAATTGTAGGGTCTTAAACACCCAAAAGGAAAGTATAACCAAAGATTAAAGGGACCAATATAATTTCATAAGAGTCCATATGTATAGCTAAAGGCTACATAACAAGAAACAAGGCCAGACAGGAGATACCTTCCTTTGAGTTACTGGCCAGGATGACCCAAGAGACTCCCAGACAGTAACCCAGCATAGAACTGGGAAAATGAACAGCAGACCCCAATCTTATCTAAAGGAATATTGACAACTGATTGCTACTAGATGAGGAACAGCTGATCTTCCTAAAACAAGGCTCTCTAGATAGGCTGACTAGACTCAGCAGATGGACAAGCACTGGGGAATGGCTGGGGGTGGAGACAACACAGTGGACAGTAACAGGGATGACAGAGTATATGGGCTCCAGTGTCGGGGGGAGGCTATGGGAGGGTGCCATTTGGAAAGTGGCTGTATAGATGAATAAGATTGTGTGGGATGTTCTGTATGATATACACACACAAAAAAATCAACAAAAAAATTCTTAAAGACTTATATTTGAGGAGGAAGCATAAAAATTTACTTCATGTTAAATAGTAGAGCTGATAAACATTACCAGTGAAATCCACCTGATAACTTTATATCCATACTCAGGTACTAAGGATCCGAATGTTACCGACTGTGACTAGTAATAATCAGATACATAGAGATTAAAGAGGACGAGGAGACCCCACCAGATGGATCTGAACCAGTGTCCAGTCTATAAAGAGGAGGGTCAACAAAGGGATTCCCAGATAGTAACCCAGCATAGAACTGGGAAACTGAACAGCAGACCCCAATCTTATCCAAAAGAATATTGACAACTGATTGTTGCTAGATGAGGAACAGCTGACCCTCCTAAAACAAAGACCTCTAGATAGGTTGACTAGATTCATCAGAAGGGCAACTAGTGGAGGAATGGCTGGGGGTGCCAACAACACAGCAGACAGTAGCAGGGATATCAGAGTAAAAGGACTCTAGTGGGGGGAGGGAGGCTATGGGAGGCTGCTACCTGGGAAGTGGGTATATAAATAAAGAAAAAAGAAAAAAAAAATTCAAAGCATAAGAATTTGCTCCTTAATAATTAGTAGATGTGAAAAACATTATCATTGAAATCTACCTGATGACTTTACCTCCATGCTCAGATGCCAAGGAGCTCAGAAAATAACTGACTGTGACTAGTAATAATCAGATATATAGGGATTAGAAATGCAGGTGCAAACATCTAAGTGTTAATTGCATTAAAAATGATTTTTTCTGTATGAAAACATGTATTTTAATAATTGAATTGAGATCTTTTTTAAAGGTTAAAACCTCATCCAGTTTTATGTCTTATAGGGTTTATACTGAGTACAATATTGTATAACTGTACTAATTCAACTGCAAACCTAAAAATTTACAGCCAATTTTGAAAGAGATGCATCTTAGCTCTGGAAATTGTTATTGAATATGTCAATGCTGTTGTAATGAAATGCTTCTTCTAATTGTGTGGTTATTAAATAAATAATTTTTAAAAAGAGAAAAGGTTTGTTGTTATTCATAGCTTTGGAGGTTTTAACCTATGATGGTCAGTCCTGTTGCTTTCAGGCGATAATGACACAGCCTACCTAGCAATAATTAGTGGGAAAACTGACGTGGGCTAGGGTCCCATAAGCTCCTTCAGGAGCATGCCCCTAAATTAAACCCCTCAATTAGGCTCCCTTCCTAAAGTATCAATCACCTCCTCATAGCGCTGAGCTGGAGACCAAGCCTTTAGCACAGGGGTCTTTGGGTGCATTACAGACACAAAGTATTGCAGGCACATTGCAAAAGAGGATGCCCACGTGGTCAGCAAACCTAGGGGAAGATACACCAGCTCACTCTTTATGAAGGACCCATAAGTAACCCTCACAGGACCACAACAGCTAAACCCTGAAAAGTCTGACAGTGTGTGGGGGTGAGGACATGGGACAAGAAGGTGCTCTGGTGCATTCTGGGTAGAAGAGTACGTCTGTGTGGAGCTTGGGGATGGGGCAGTGTCATGCAGGACAGCTGGCTTCCTTGTACCATGTGGGATTTCCTTTACCCATTAATTGTGGCGTTCCATCTGCTGTGGGTGATGCCCTCCCCAGGGCCTGACCCAGGCCTGACCTATGATCAACCAAGCCTGACCTTATCTCCCTGTGGGATCAGGGTGAGTTGGGGTCCACCTGAAACTATGCCTGCTCGTTCCTCCCTTGTCCCGTTTGCTTAACTCTCTTCTGGTTTTCTTGCAAGAGCTCTAACCCAGAATGAGGGCACAAGAGCCCTGT